TCAGTGATTGACGGCTGAAGGCCCAAGATGATTTTCAGAGGCACTTGGAGATTGCTCTTCCAAGGGCTTTGGCAGAACAGTCTAGAATATCAAAATTGTACAGCTGCCTCAAGTCATCTTTGATGGAATCAGGGCATGAGTGAATAATGCATGTCTTTGGCTATCCAGTGCCTCCCCTGTCTTAGCACCTCTCTTATCTCCTGCCTCCATGTCCTTCTTGTTCTTCAAACTCCAGGCAGCTTTATCCCTTTAGCTCTTCAAAGCATCCGTTGGCACCTGCCAACCCCTTTGCTGGCTCCCACCCCTGCAGAGCCCAGACTCCAGAATTATGACACAGCATCAAGAAACAGAGGAGGTATTCAAACATTCTTTTGGATAAAGCACTTTTTGAGGGAAAGGAGGAGGAAGAAATCTAGGTAAGAAAGATGCTTGGAAAGACCAACCACAACACGTTCCAAGGGGAAAGTTCTAGACTAGAGCTCAGAACCTCATTTCTGGATATACTGGTCTTCCCTTTATCTTAAGGCCAGCCTGGGTGGTCAAAATCAAATAAATTTGAATTAAATGAATAATTTTACATGCCAGAGGACAGTTTCAAATTTTTGCAAGAAACCAAAATATAATCATGCAGTAGAGAAGCTTCTAAAGGCTGATTTTACCTGTCAATGAGGAGGAGACCTGGGTTTCATTTCTTGTTTCTCTGATGTTGACCTTTTTTTGGACATAGATTTGTTTTTTAATTTTTTAATGCCCTTTGCTTTATTTTATTTTAATTTTTTAGGGGGGAGGTTATTAGGTTTTTATTTGTTTTTTTTTAATGGAAGTACTGGGGATCAAACCCAGAACCTTATACATGCTAGGCACGCCCTCTACCACTGAGCTATACCCTCCCCTCTCTAATGTTGACTTCGAAGTTTAAAGATTCTAATGGTGTGTAAGAATCCTACTGAATGGAAAAAGGGATTTGGAAATATGAATTAGCCAGGCAGGTGCGGGAAAAGTTAGGTAAGTCATTTAGATGGAGATGGAGAGAGAATGTGGCAGCATTACATTTAAGGTGATTTGAAGAATTGTAAGAATTCTTCCGTAGATACTTTTTAATTATTTGTAGTTGGGTTTAAATTTTAATAGGTGTAAGGATAATCCTAAATAAACTGTCTACATGATCCTTTACCAAACCTTTTTTGAAAAAAGCTTTTTTGAATCATTAATGGTCTTCCGTATTTTAATAAAGTATTTGAAAGCTTAAAAAAAATTACGTGGTGCCGAAAAGTCTCTTTTGTACCAACTTGCTAGAGTGCCCGTAATTCATTCATTACACTTTGTCTTCAGGATGACCTTAGAAAATGCATTGTCCAGGAAGGAATAAAGTAACCTGTCATACAGTTCCCTGAAAATGTCAGGGTCTGGTTTATTGCTGGGAAGCCAGGAAAGGACAGGGAGATGGTGCCAAACTAAGAATAAACTCCCCTTGCTTTATAATTTTGTTAAGTGTGGATCCTGCAGAAGGAATAAAATACTGTCAGTCATGGAACTTTCCAAGGCTCTTGGAGCTTCCACGAGAGTAGAGATGGGAAAGATTTTCAAGATCTTGTACTGTGAATCAATGGACCAGCCTTTTTGGTACTGAAAAGAAGGTCTCTGGGGACAATCCATCAAGTTGTTCAGAGTTTTAATACAAAAGGTAAACTCCCAAAAGCAATTTTAAAGAAGTCGCCTCTTCAGACGAAATCTTTTTCAGGCTGATGGTAAATGCCCCGGAGGCCTAGGACAACTTGGACATAAAAGGACTTTCTACCTTTGCTATCTTTCCAGGTTTATGTTTTATTCTTGGCACTGGGATGGCTTGCTCCTCCTGTCCCTAGAACTCTTCCCGGGAAATGAGCAGTCACAACTAGAATATGAAAGCAACTCAGAGATGGTCCATTTTGACCCCTTCACTTTGCAGATGAGGACACTGAAGCACAGGGATGATAATAATTTAAGGAGCAGAATTGCACAGAGGATGTAGTATGGGTTGGGAAGTGGACAGACCTGGGTTTACCAGTTGGCAGGTATGTGAACTTGGGCAAGTTAGTTAATATTTCTGAGCCTCAGCTGCTGCTTCTGTAAAGAGAATTCTTAAGGAGCATCCACCCAAAGAATAAACTCAAAACTTGGCCAGCTATTATGTTTTAAAAATTGAGACATAATTCACCTAACAGAAACCTCATCATTTTAAAGTGTACAGTTTAGTGGCTACATTCACCATGTTGTGAAACCATCACCACTATCTAATTCTAGAACTTTTCCGTCACCTCCCTCCCTGCAAAACCTGTACCTTTTAGTAGTCAGTCTTAATTATCCTCTACCCCACTGGCAACAGCTAATCCACTTTCTGTCTCAATGGATCTGCCTCACCTGGATGTGTCCTATAATAGAATGATGTGTGGCCTTTGGGGTCTAGCGTCTATCACTTAGCATAATGTTTTTGAGCTTCACCAGTGTTGTAGCATAAACTTCATTCCTTTTTATTGCTGAATAGTATCCCATTATATGGATATACCATGTTTTGTCTATCTGTTCATCAGTCATGGAAATTTGCTATAATTATCATTGTTTTACATGGTGGGGCCAAAGATACAATGAGAACTTAGGTGTCTAACTCTCAGCCTTGCCCTGTTTTTACAACCCCATACTGTTTTGTATAACATCTGAGCATATGTATTCAATTAATAGTAGTGGTTTGCTCAAAGAAAACCCTTACAATCTGGCTAATTACGCTTATGGCTAATTACTTTAAAAGATTTTTATCCAATACGGGAAAAGACTACATAATACAACAACAAGAAATCTAAAGATAGAAAAATGGTGCTGAGAACCAAGTTTAATTTTCATTTTCTGGACTCCAGTGGTCAAGTCTTCATGCCTCTTCATCTTACTGTGTTTCACAGAGCAACCTGAGGGCTGTATCTTTTATCTGTCTGGTTTTTATGTATATGTTTATTACCATAGTTTATAGCCCAGGAGCAAAGAAAGTTTTTCCTAGCTTTGGTCAATGTTTAGTGATTCATCTCTCTTGTTCACTTTACTCCAAGGCAGAAGTACAGAATTCTCTTCTCTGGGACAGTTCCTGTCACTGCATTTACCTGCCCACTAGATAACGCTCTTGGCCCAGAATTTAGTACATTTCAAATACAGTTGGTCGCCTCTCCTTACAACCTGGTCCCCTTCTCGCATACTGACTGCCCCAGCTCTCAAGTCTGCTCTTCAGCCCTGGAGGGGGAGAGGCAGTTTAGTGTACTTGAAAAAGTTCTCTGTTTTTCACATATTGAAGATGTAGGTAACATAGCCCCAGGCCTTCTCTCTGTAAGCACTTGAAGGCTGGAAGCAGGTCTGATTCGTTAAGGATTTGGTTGTTGACATTCTTTGCTTGGGAACCGGTGATGTGCAGAATGCAGCAGGATGCCAGGGGCAAAGGCGTTTCCCGGGGTTCATCTGGGGCTTGTGCTGCCTTATCTTGGGTGGCAAGAGTGGAGGGTCTAGCCCAGCCTGGCTTGCTGACTTTCTGCAAGTGTTTTCTTTGCTAAAGCTTTAATGATCTGATCCTGGACACTACTAATTACTCATCTCATTTAATATTCTATTGCTATTCTTTAAAAATCTGGAGGAGTCGTGTGTCAGGCTTCACATGTGTGACCTCATTTATATGATTTCCTGTTTCTAAGCCTTTGGCAGCCCTCATATACATGTGAAAGCGAGTGAGCCTGGCCCTTGTTGTCTTCAAGTTAAACATCCCTCCTTCCTCCCTCTGTTCCTGGTGGCCAGCTTAGCAGCTGTCTCCTACATCTGTGTGTTTTCCACTTTGTCAGTGTTCCTCTTAATGTGATGCCCAGACTGGAAATGACACTTCACATGTGCTATTGTTACCAACCAGGGTTCTTGGTCTCCTTAATCAATAGAAATTGATAAGAGGCCAGATGAGAAATTCAGGCAAGGCTTTCCTGGGACGTGCTGCAGCAGAGGGAGTGAAAATAAGTAGCAGGTTCCCCTCCCTGCTTTTCTTTTTGGAGGGGGAGGGGTGAGCCAGTCCCTTAAATGGGGTGGGGCTGGAGTGGGTGGCTTAGGTGGTCTGCCCACCCCCTTGGTGGTGCTGTGTGCAGGGATCATGTGCGGTACCCTGCTTTTGCTCTGGACACCTCAGAAGTGATAATTAGATTTTTGGTCTTTTTGTATCTTATTGTTGGTAACTGGCTCCAACTGCGCAGGCACAGGGTTATTTTAGTCCTTGATAGTTTCTTTGTATTTTGTTGCTCGAGGAGACACCTTTGTCCAGGGGCAAGCATTGCAGCCCAGAGTCCCAGGTCCCAGCCTGTCTCACTATGAACAACCAAACTAGAAATACTACCAAGAAATGAACCTGAGCCTCATTCAGTGCCACGCATACTTGTCAATGCTCCTTTATCAACTGCATCTTAATACTGGCCAACCCCTCTATCCCCCACCTCAGGATCTTTTTTTTTCACTTTAACTGCTGGGAGGCAGATTCTTCTTGTACAGTTGATCTGTTGATCCTGAGAGCAGAACTTTACATTTACCCCAACCTATTCTTCCGGTTTACCCTGGGGACTTGCAGTGTTACTACATCAGAACGCTATGAATGGGAGGCTAGCATAATTCTGATGCAACACACTGTGGAGGGAGTGGAGAATAATTTTTTTAATGATATGTTAGGATTTGCTGTTAATAGAAAAATCCTTCTCTGACTACCTATCGTCGGGTAGTTTCGTTAGTAATTTCCAGTTCGTGGTGGCTTTTTGCGTTGGGGGTTATTTTTAGCGTCAACAATTAAATAGATTAAAAATTGAGTGTTGAGTCTCTTTAAGATGCTTGGTGCCTTGATCACTTGGCCAGGCTTTTAATCACGTGGGTCCTGGCCGGGCCATCGGGTGCATCCACTTGCTGCATCATTCCAGAAGATGCTTTGAGGGTTTTAACCGGCACCTCTCTGTCCCTTACAGTTACCTGGCTGAACAGTGCTGGAATGGCGGCTTTATCTACCTGATCATGCTGCGTCGCTTCAAGCACAAAGTCCATTCTCCTTATAACGGCAACAGTAGCAACAGCTCTGAACCAGGAGAGACGCCTACCTTGGAGCTGAGTGACCAAACTGTGAAAAAGGGAAAGAGAGCAAGAAAGTTTGGGGTCATTGCCAGGCCTGCTACTCACAAAGCCACTGAAGAGTCCAAGAGCAGCACTGGCTGTGAACTGGACAATGACCCCGTCTCCGAACTGGACAATGGCCTAGACCCTGAACTTGGAAACGGTCATGCTTTTGAGCTAGAAAATGGCCCAGATTCGCTCAAGGAGGTGGCTGGATCCCATCTAGACAGGTCGGAATTGGACAGAGGGACAGAGCCTAGAATTTCGAAGACAGATGCTCCTCTGCCCACAAGCAATGACAAACGGCACTTCTCAAAATCTGGGAAGACGGACTTCCAGTCCAGCGACTGCCTGGCACGGGTAAGGTTTGGTTTGACTGTAGAACCTGAATTTTAAAAGAAATTTTGTTTGAAGTTGCGTTTAAGATTTGAAAATACATCTAAGATGACCTTGCATGTAGAAGCCAACAGATTTATTAAGATAAATGATCAGAGGACATAACAATAACAACAAAAAAATCCAAGTCATTTTATCCCATTTAAATAAAGAGCTAGCTGAGTGATCCTAAGTGGAAAATTCAAGCCTTCTGTGGTATAATTGGAGTCATATGAGGCCCAGATAAAGTGCTTGAACTGCAATGTTATTTATCACTGCTGTCACCAGTGGAATTGCCACTGAAGGCCAAGAATTCCTGGTGGCTGCTGATAGCATAAATATCCATGCCTCAGTGTGACACAGGATGTCCAACCTGCAGGGAAGCATCTGCTTTTATTTTTAACACTTCAAAACCAGGGACATTTTCATGGGATTGTGTTATTATATTGCTGAATTCCGGTGAAGTTTGGAAGCTTCCCAGCAATCTCTGATACTATGATATCCAGCTGTGATGGTCAGGGCTAGTCTTACCTAAAGCAGATGTGGTCTATTCTGAATGGTAATAGATACACCTCAGGCCTCAGATTGTCTCCCCCATTGTAAGCCACACTCTCTCGTAAAGTTACATTTCTTTAGCGTCAGTGTGCTCCCTCCAGAAATCCTCTTGGCCAGATATTCCTCTGGGTTCCTAACAAAACAGTAACTTCCTAGATGGTTCCTTATTGATTTCTGCTTGACTCAGGAGATGCCCTTTAAGGATGAAAGAGAAAGTTGGAAAGGTGGAAAATGGGCACAAAAGTATCAAGTTCAGCTTTGCAGCCGGGGAAATGGTGCCCCACAAGTGAATATAATTTCTGGAAAGGCTATTTCATGCATATTTCTGCAACTATAGCCAATCTGTATAATGGGTTGAGAAGAATCAAAATAACTCTCCTCTCAAGGGACCATGTTCCTTCATTTGAGGAGCTGGGTGATCTTCATAAAGCCTTACACAAAGAAGGTATATTTGTAGATGGAATGTACAAAGAAGTAAGGAGAAATAATTAATGTTTCTAACAATGATTTTCTACCAATTTATGCCCCCCCAAAGAAGGATTAAGGGCAATAAAAAGATTATAATGTACACATCTCCCCAAAATTAAGGGCAATAAAAATATTATATGTTCCTTATCAATGAATACCATATCTTGGTATGGTTTTTTTCTTCTAATGCTTAGACTGTGAATACACAGAAAGCCTAAGGTGAAAACAGCAAGTTGGAGAGTATTGGTTCACTTAATCATTTTGAGTGTTTAAGGTACCGAAGGTTGAAGGCCGAATCTCATATTCAGTCCAAAGAAGAGGCTTTCATCTGGCCTAGGACACAGTGGAAATAATTTGGAATTCCCACTGTTTAAAAAAAAATTGTTTTTGAATTTAAAAAAAAATCCACACCATCCTCTGCTCATCCTAATTAAAGACAATAACATAAACGGAATTTCTGGATTAGACTATCTTACGACTGCATATACTAGAGTTCCTTTGCCTGGTTTTTGCACTCAAGGTCAAATGTCCAAGAAGATACAAATGAAAGGGTAAGAAAAAACAAAAACAAAAAAAACTTTGACCTATTGCCTTGGGACTTTTTTTCTTAAGCCACATGCCTATAGAAAGGAGAGACTTACTATCTGGAATTTGCATTCTTCATAACTATTCTAAATCTGTAGACTGATTATTAAGCCTTGGTTGTACTTTCGGTCTTGGAAAGGCAAAATGGGCAGCACACCATCTCAGGCATGAGTATTTCAGTACTTTTTTCAACCCCAGAATTATCTTCACTAGGCACATTTACCCAGGATTGATAGAGCTGGCAAGAAACAGATCTTAATAGCTTTCCTCTGCATCCTGGTGGTACCCGAACTGAGACCCAGAGACCCTCAAGGAAGGTCTCTTAGCTTCTTGGGCTGGGTGGATTTATATGTAACTCCAGGATGAGCCCCAGGTCATGCTAAGATGGAATTTCCAGAAAAACAAAAAATTAGCTATTTACCTCTTAAGCCTTGGGGGAAAAATTCCATTCCATTCAAATGACGGGAGATTAGACATGTCAGGGTTGTTCCGTTTCTGCTTTACTAATGATTTAATATATCTACAAAGACTTAATAAATCACAGACAAGGCTTATAGTCATTCAGACCATTTTTATTTGTCAGGTACTTCTTTTTCATAGACCTAATTGTTACATGAAAACAAATTCTCAGGGGGAAGGTATAGCTCAGTGGGAGAGCACATGCTTAGCATGCAGGAGGTCCTGGGTTCAGTCCCCAGTGCCTCTGTTAAAAATAGATCAATAAATAAACAAACCTAATTACATCCCCCCTCCAAAATACCTCAGACTTTGCTTTTATTTTTCTTATTCTCCCTTAACTGGACCTAGCGGAAACACATTTCCTTTTAACAAGTATCTCCTTTAAAAAATTGCTTTATCTATAACATATTAACACATAATGATACATATGCAACCAGGTTAATTTTTAAAATGTGAAAGTTGGGCCCATCTTCTAAACCAAAGTATCTCCTAGCACATAGATAAGCAGTTTTAGAAATGAGTTCAGAGTTCCTTACTCCCTGTCTAGTAAGGATCATTACCCCTCCAACGTGACATACACATAATGTATGTTCTTATAATGCTGCATGGTAAAAATAAACACACTGAAGTTAGTCACATAACAATGAAAAAAGAATTCTACCATCTGCCAGTCAGGAGAGTTTATCGACAACTGACGCAGTGTCTATGGGTCCATTTGTGGTCTTACCCTAGGTTCCTCAAATCCACCCTGCGCAGTGGCAGACCCCTTCTCTAGGCCTTGTCTGTAAGTGGCTCAGCAGAGACCGCAGGACAGCTGCCCTGGGTCTGAATCTTCAGCGAAGTGTGAGACACAGAAGGGGAGTCACACTGAGTTCATCTCCTGGGTGGTCCTTGATGTTTGCATCAAGCAGAGGCAACAGGAGGGTGGTCCTCTTCTAAAAAGCCCTGTGGCCACTGGGTGAACTTTTATCCTTTATGTGGTACTGTCTCCTAAGTTTGTGTCTGCCTTTGCCTCTCTCCTGAGCCCTTAAGAGCATTCTGCCAACTGCCTGCAGGATGTCTCCGTCTTAGATATTTCACATAATGCCTAAAACTTGGTGCGCTGCTTCCCAGCACCACCACGCCCGCTCCGGTGTTCCAGGTCTCACCATCCACAGAGCTGCCCAAGCCAGAAACCTGAGATTCAACCAGTGACCACTCACCCTGGTTTGTGCAGGACTTTCCCTGGTTTTGCACTGACAATCCCATACTCTGGGAAAGGCCTTTCACCCAGGCACATGGGGACAGTTGGCATCTGGAGTCAGCTGGAACACTGCCCTCTCCCTTGCCCCACATCCAGTCAATCACCAAATCCTGTCACCGCCTGCTCTCTTTAGGATCACTGCCCGTTCCACTTCTCCGTGTCCCTCCTACAGCTTTAGGTCAGGGCCAGGCTGCTTTCCTTTCTCACCTCTGTAGTTACAACAATCTCGCACCCATCTCGCTGCTCCCTCTCTTATCCCATCATCCATTGTCCCCACTGCATCCAGGGCTTTTCTAAAGAGTACATCTTACCGTGCATGCATGTGCGCACACGGACACACACATGCGTGCTGCAGCTTACACCCTTTTGGCGGATCCACTTTGCCCTTGGGGTAACACCTGAGTACCTTGTCTTGACATAGCATGTGAGGCCCTTCAGTGGATTCTTGCTTAACTTTCTGCCTCTGTTTCTCACTGCTTTCTTCCTCCCTGATATGGGCTGAATTCGTTTTTTTCAAAAGGCTATGCTCATTCTTGCCTCTGAGCCTTTGCTCTCTCTGTTCCAGCTCAGTGCCTTGCACGTGCAGGCGCTCTGGAGATATTTATTACTGAAGGCACCCAAGACCACCAGGCCTGAGAGACAGAGCACCAAGTTCCAGCCCTGGTTCTTCCACCCCCAGTTCGGTAGCCTTTTTTTGGGGGGGGGGCATGTCCTTTCTCTGAGCTTCAGTTTTCTCACCTACAGGCTGAGCCTTTTGGTCTGATGACTAAGGGATTTCAACTCTGACATTATGATCACATGTTTCTTCATTTCCAATGGCTCATTCGAAGTAGGAAGGATAAACAGTCTCAGAATAGGTCTGCAACTGGAGCCAGAAAACTTACTGCAGTGAAATGCTAGTGGGATGATGTGTCTTCTCACATTTGGGGCAAAGATGCTGTTGTAAATTTTTATTTTGGGTTCCAGCAGAAGATGAGGTCATTTAAAAGCAACCGAGGCAGCTCCTTTAATTCACTACCCCTGTTTTGGTAAATTAATCCTGTGTGTGCCTTCGTGAAGTGATACGAGTGTGAGCTCACACAGTGATTGGCAGTTTACGGGAAAGGGTAGCGCTCCGACAACATTAACACAGACATCCGAAGTATCCAATTTTGCATGGTTTGGCTTTTTCTCAACCGGCTGACAAATTCTCATTGCCCTTTAAGCCAATATAAAAGGAAGCAAAGGTCCAAGCCATCTGTCTAGACAGGGTCTGTTTCAGAACTCAATCATCTCTACAACTGGATCAGTGTTCACACACTGAACGTTGGCAAACACGCAGGTCTCCCATCTGGGCGAACTTCTCAACGTCAGTCTCAATAACTTTTGAGGAGCCATAAGATTAGTGGATAAACATTGTATATCTGTTAATTCAAGGGCATGTATGCAGTATTACATGCTGGGCACTGTTCTAGCTGCTGGAGAACCCACTGGTAAATGAGAGACAAGGCTCCTGTCCTGGGGTATTTATCACGTACCAGGGCCACGAGCAACAAATAAGCAAATAAACAAATCAGAATGTTAGACGCTGACCACAAGTACAATAAATGAAATAAAACAGAGGAAAGTGAAAGATGGTGGGGCAGTGACGTTGTGGGGGGGAGGCTAATTGATATTGGGTGCCAGCAAAGATCTCATTAAAGAGGCCATGTTTTAGCTGAAGACTGAGTGTCAGGAAAGGGCAGCCCTGCAGAATCTGGGTGCAGAATGTTTTCATGTGAGGAGCCAGCACGTGCAGCTGCCGTGAGGCAGGAATGTAGCCTATCCCAGGAGCAGAGAGACTGCGGCACAATGAGGGATGGAGAGGGTACTAGGAGGTGATGTGGGAGATGTGGACAGGGGCTAGGTTACAAACGTTCGTGTAAACCATTGCAGAGTGTGGACCTCATTCTCAGTCTAGTACGGAGCTGTTGCAAGGTTTAAGCTGAGTACATCATGAAGTATTTTTTTTAAAGGGCACCCTAGATGTGTAATGGGGCATAGAGTTTGTGAAAGGTAAAGAATAAAAAGGGAGCCCAGAGTGGAGGCTATTGTGATAACCCAAGTGGAAGATGCCAGAGGCTCTGACAAGGGTGGTGGCAGAAAAGAGGAGCAGAAGTGGATGAATGTGGATCTATTTTGCAATTAGACCCTACAGACCCGGCTCATGGTTTAGGTGTAGAAAATAGAAGGATGAATCAAAGATCATTCATGGGCTTTTGGTTTGCAGATCCTCTTAAGCCTGAGTAGATGATATTGCTGTTCCCACTGAGACGGGAAAGCCAGGAACGGGAGAGGAGAGTCCTGTCTCGGCCCAACTGGTGTGTGTTGTAGATACACGAGTAGAATTGTGAAGAGGTAGTTGGAAATACACTCAATATTATTGTACTTAAATTAGCCTGTTGGTTTTTGGCCAATGCCAGCTTTAGCTTAATAAACTTTAGACACTGATTTTATTTTTAACTGAATGCAGCTTTCAGCTCTAGGTGGCTAGATCTAAGGCTGACAGTTGTACAATTAAGGCTGATAACATCTGCCTCTTCCTGTTTCTGCTTCCCTTTGTGTTCCTCAGAATTCCTTCATGAGATGGTCAGGAAATTCCAGGGTGAGGAAATGTGCATTGATTTCTTTGAACTCTCCCCATATATTTCCTACTTACTGTCTGTTATTGGGGGAGGGGATCATACTATTGGATAAAAGTGGAAAAGATCTGTTTCTGGATGAGTGTAGTTGGGGGCTCCATGACACGTTGGTCATTTCTGCAGTCTGGAGCCATTTTTATTAGTTTTGTGTTTTGCTTTGCTTTTGAGTAAGTTAAGTTAACTAAGTTGCTTTTAACTAAGTTGTGTGCGTCTTGGGTGGAGGCAGGGGTGTAGAGCAGGCGTGTGGCTGCTCTTGATGAAACTGTCTTTAACTCCTCTGTCAGGATGAACATTTAGGCCCTTATTCTTTCCCCGTGATCATAGTTTTTGCATGTTTCTTGTCACACATCCTATTTCTCAAAAGCATTTAAAAATTAGAAAGGACTGTATCTAGTATTGTCACACCCTCTGAACCATGTTAACATATTCTGTTTAGCAAGAGGAGGGCAGGACAGGAGAAAATGATGGCATAACTAGTGAGAGGGGTGGATAGGTTGTTACTAATTTGGAATAAAACCAAATGGGTTTTCTTATTTCTGGGCTCTAATAGTGGTCCCTGTTGCTCTTGGGAAAGAGTCCCAGAGCTTTTCTCTCCTGGGGGAGGGAGGAACACTGTCACACATCTTCAAGACCCCGGGAGCCACGGCACAACTTCCAAGGAGAAAACAAGTCAAGCCACCATTCTGCCCTTAACCTGCAGTGTGAGGCCCAGGGAGGCAGCCACAGGGCTGGCCACGTGCCAGTGAGCATGCCAGGACAACAGCTGATCACATCCCTGCATTTGTTCCCTTTGGGGGTCTCCGCCAGCCAGAAGGTCTCACGTCCTGGAAGTGTGCTGTCTCGGCAGTAGCACTGATTCTCAAGGATGGCTTCTTGGAAGTAGTGGAGCTGGGACTGACTTTGAAGGCCAGGGAGGCTGTTTCTGAGTGAGAGAGGAAGGTGTTCCAGGGGTCAGAGGCAACAAACCAAAACCCATGGAGTCCAAAGTGAGACGACTGGATGATGTAGGGAGCACTGACAAGTTCATGAACTACAGCAGTGAGCCAGTGGCCTCTGAAGTTACATTTGGCCAGACGGGCTTCGTGGGTCTGTGGTCGGAGGACGAAGGAGACAGCTGGCCCCGCTGCAGGTTGCTGGAGCCGTGGAGCCCCAGCAAGCAGCGCTGGACCAGAAAACGTGGAGGACCCAACAGGTCTCTGTCTGGCAGTGATTTCCCTAGACATTCCTGTTGCTGCACATCAGTGACAGTTCAACATCTGTTTTTTTTTTTTTTTACTATTGCATAAAGTTTCATTTTAGTTTCTGACAGTATGCATTTCAGCTTTTCTAAATGCTTCACATTTTTTTCTCCTTTGCAAGCAGCTTGAATGGGCAGGTTGCCTATTTCTGGGGAGATGATGGCTTTGTCTGTATTGGACCTTAACAGTTCCATGAGACCTTCATGATGGATAAAGAAGGCAGATGGCTTTTGTTTTATATGTTGAGGATCGCATTGTGACCCCTACCCGTATACCTAGAGCTAGAAAGAACTCTGGAATGAGCCTAAAGTCAGACTCCCCGATAAATCCCATTGAAAGCTTTTGCTTTCATTTTTCAGAACAGCTCAGTATCTGAGGGAACTCAGACGTTTTCAGTGGGCATATGTTTACGTCCTTGGAGTGAAACACAGAGTCAAATGGAGAAGGAACCAAAGCAGAAAAGTGGCAGTCCAGAGGAATTAGAGACCTTGATTCGTTTTTTTAAAGGATAGATTTTTATAGTTAGTGAAGCATTTTTTAATGTATTTAAAGAGCATTCTGACCAATGTGTGAAGTTAATAACAAATTCATCAATTAATTTCCTATTGTGGCTTCTCCTACCAAAGGTCTCATTCATACGTTTTAAGGAGATTTGAGATTCAATTCATTATGATGTTTTTAACGTATCTAATATGCCTGTGTAAGTAATAGATGGCTACTTATCAACATGCATTATGTATCTGCTACATGTCTGAAGCACTGCTGCCTGTTTCCATAAATATTTAATCCTAATAACAAACTTGGAAGTATTAATAATCATCCCCAGTTTAAAGGCAAGGAAACTGAGGGTTTATTAGACATTAGATGATTTCCATAAGTTCGGAGCTGGGCTCAAACTAGTTGAAGTCTCCTGGCGCCAAGACCTACCTTTGTCTTCCTTTCATCTTCCTGTATTAATTAGCAGCTGTCGTAAATAAAAGGAACCCAGACACAGCCGGTGTTTACACACATAGTGGTGTCTGGGTTTCAGGCAGAAGCAGCATCACTTAGCAGGACCTCGGTCAGGGGATTCGCGGATCACTCTTGCTGTGCTGTCCAGCGTCATGGCCACTAGCCACAGGTGGCTAATTACATTTAGCTAAAATAAAATGAAATGAAAAATTCAGCATCTCAGTTGCCACCAGCTGCATTTGAGGCATTAAATAGCCACCTGTGGCTGGTGGCTCAGAGTGGACGGAACACAGATAACACTTCCATCATCATACAAAGTGTTACTGGGTAGCACTGCCCGCTCGAGACTTTGGTCCAGCCCATGGCATTTTCCCATCTGTGGTCACCTGCGCTATCTGTTGACAAGTGATGAGTACCGGGCCTGACCTGCCAGCTCCGCTCTCCTGTGACAGTAGCATGTGTGTGTCCATATTCTTCACGGTGTGCTCACTTTTTCTTCCAAGGAGGAAGTTGGCCGGATATGGAAGATGGAGCTGCTTAAAGAATCGGATGGGCTGGGAATTCAGGTTAGTGGAGGCCGAGGATCAAAGCGCTCACCTCACGCTATCGTTGTCACTCAAGTGAAGGAAGGAGGTGCCGCTCACAGGTGACTAGTAACTCTCCCCCTTTCTCTGCCTCCTTGTCCTCTCCCTGCCCTTCCCTCGGGTGCTGGGACTCTTCCGTCTGGTCACAGCACTGGTACTTACAGTTCATAACGAAGATGCTGGGCACAGAAGGAAACCAGGCACGAGCGGTTCTAATTAAGCAGCTCTGAGCACAGGCAGCGGCCAGCTGCTGGGGACGCTGTAGGTTCTGCCAACCACGGAGGAGAGACTGGATTTCTTTCTAGTCCAGCTTGAGTTTCAAGAGAATGTTACTTATCCTGCCTTTGGAGGTGCTGGTGTCATGTGGTTACTTGTCAAGGCCGTGCCATGCAACAGACCACCCCATTCTGGACATCTAGCCGTCTTGCCTCCCATAGGCTGTGGCTGGTGACTTGGGAAAGTGATGGGATTTAAATAGACTGTGTCTGGATTTGTAGGTCAGTCGAGATTTTTTTCTTTAAACAGAGGTACTGGAGATTGAACCCAGGACCTCGAGCATGCTAAGCACATGCTCCACCACTGAGCTATAGCCCCCACCCCCAACCCCGGTCTGTTGAGATTTGATGCACACTTATATGTGTGTGTCTCTGTCATGCAGATGGGGGGGGAATAAATGAGAATTTTTCTTCTCGTAACCTAAAAACAATTCACACTCCAAAACTTCTTTTATAACCTGAACAGTTGTCTGAAGCAGGAAAGGGGACGGTGCTTAGACAGAGCATGTACAAAGAAGAGGTCCATGTCGAGTTAGAGGGATGTACTTGTCTCAAAATGTAAGGCACTTCCTTGCCATGTAGCTAATTGCTTCTATATACATGGGGCATCTCCTATTTGTGAAGCACAGTAGGGTGTGTATATATGTTGGATACCCACATCTATATAGTAGGCATTTAAAGGTAGGGTTTCACTGATGAGGGAGGTGAATCTAGTCTGGAATTAGTGTTCAATCCAGGTACCCTGATATTAAGAGGAAAATGGCAAACCATAGTGGTATTGGTCTGCCCAAGTCCAAGAGGGCACAGGGGACATGGAAAAATATGTCTCATGAGGCTTAGTTGAAGGAGCTTGCAGTATTTAGTCTGAAGAATAGACCACTGAGAGGACCAGGGCACAGACTGTCAATGTTTCACGCTCATCTGTCCCATAGCTAGAGATAACGGGCAAGTGCAGTTAACCTTATCTCTGCTGGAGTGATCTAAGTGGCAGTAATTACTGAAGGATTAAGGCCTTAGATAGTTCATGTCCAGAAGAGCATCATCACGCTTCCCAGATGTTGTATGTTTTAGGGAACTTTCATCAGACAGCCATTTTCCCATGAATCCTGGGTCTAGGTTCTAGTCCGTCTTTGGAAAGTTGGCAATTAGGAAATTCCTGTGCCCAGAGATGAGCTTACATAGAACTGTTCATGTCTGTTTTCCATGTGAGCTATTTCTAATGGGTCTCACCATTTTTGTACACCCTTACCCTGGATTTGTCTGTCTGTGTGTGTGTGTGTGTGTATCTTGGTGTATAATTTACATGTGGGGAATTCTAGTTAATAACTGGAGATGAGAAAGAGGGAAATTAAAAATGAATGGGGACAGAGATGTCTTCGTGGTGGTGTGGATAAGTAAACCCAGGGACACTGGCCATGATGTTCTGTTTTCCTGAAGCCTTCTCCATCCACACTTTTCCTTGAAATTCCAATTTGTTTGTTCTCTTATTTTTTATTTTCTTATTCCCCTTTTCTTTCCATTCCATGCAACTTCTGGGGTTCTTATCATTTCTCTTCTTTAGGTACTTTTGAAGGACAGAAAGCAGAGGCTGTCGGAAGCCTCTGGTGCCTCCTGTATTCTGTTAAAGGCTGAATTCATAGAAAAGATTATGATGCAGGCCCTAAAGGACGCAGACAGAGAGAAACTGGAGAGGCAGGGGAGGAGAGAGAACTTGGCTTATGCACTGAAAGAGGGCAAGGCGGGGAGAGGCTACAGACCAGAGAGAAACAGTGGGGTGAATCTGGGAGTGCTGGAGACGAGCATGGGTCCCAGAGCAGCACCCTGGGTGCCGACGTAAAGCCCTCGGAGATGATGGTGGAACCTGGGCTCTGGGTCTGCGTCTCTCAGCCTCACCAGATTGCCCATCCCATATTTAGCAGTGGAGATGGAGAGCCTCTGGCTGCTTTGGGATCGTGGGAGACCAGACCATTGGAGGCCCAGTGGGAACCCATAGGACTGTTGACCCACCACGATTGACCGGGCCTACCAAGTGCTCTGTAACAGTCTGCCACCCGTGACCACTGGGTCTCCTGCCAACCCAGTGGGATGGAAGCTCCAAGTCATTCATTTCATTTAAAGGAAATAAAGAAACAGAACATATTTGTACACCCATGTTGTACACCAGGTCTGATACCTGCAACAGCGGTAACTCAGGCACTTTCTTTGTTAATTTTTCTGTTCATCCTTCTGCTCATGAAGCGTGACTGTACAGACACGTGGGGGAAAGAGGCATTGTGAGACTTTACCCTCAATGTCCTATAACTCTTGGGGGACAGGGGTTACAGACACATGCAGTGCAATGTCACAGGTGCCACAGAGGAAATCTGGGCAAGGGTGTGTCACCTGGGAAGAGAGAGGGCCTGTGGGTTAGAGAAGGATTCCTGGTGAGCCCAGGATACCTTCACCCTTTTGGGGCTTAGCTCAGAGACTCAGCTGATGACTCAGTCGCAAGGGCAGGATGGCCGGTAGGACAGAGAAAAGGAGACTTAACGATCCTAAAACCGAGGGGTCTCGTTTCCTCTGTCATGTCTCCGCCTGGATGGAAGACATTTCACTGACACTGACGGGGGATATGGTGGTGACCTAAGTGACCGTCTGAAATCACAAAGCTCCTCACTCCCCTAACTGGGCATCTGGACCCAGCCAGACGGAAGGATAAAGCCGTCCTGTCCCAGCTGTCTCCAGTTGTCCCGACTTCTCCGATTTTCCTGTCCCCTCTCACAGCCGTCCCCAGCCCCAGGGAAAGGGCCCTTCTCAAGCCCAGAATGTCTTGACAAGGGATTTTTTTTCCCGTCTCCATTTCCTCAGGGACGGCAGACTGTCCTTAGGAGATGAGCTCCTGGTAATCAATGGTCACTTGCTAGTCGGGCTCTCCCACGAGGAAGCTGTGGCCATCCTTCGCTCCGCCACCGGAGTGGTTCAGCTGGTGGTGGCCAGCAAGGTAGGTAGTTTTTGTTTTGTTTTGTAAACTCTTTTAAATGGTGGTGGTAGTGAATTTGGTTTTGAGCCCTCCCCAGAGATGCCCCCCACCCCCACCCCGCCACCGCCTCACACCCCCACACATGTGTACTTGTGTTTACCTCGGGCCATTCAAGTACCCAAGATTATACAGCGCAAGCCCACAAGAGGCCCTTAGCTGAAGGGCGTTTAATTATCTTGCTCTCCTATAAGGGTCTTTATAGGTATATCCAGGAGATGGAAAAGCAAAAAACAATAATAGGACTAAAGAAAAGGGAAGAATGGTAGGGTGCGAGGAAGGACTGGGGGTAGAGAGTAGCAACCGCCCCCGGGGCGCGGGGAGACCAAGGAGGAGACGTGGCTGTTGGGGGACAGCAAGGACTGGGGAGGGGCATGGAGATGGGCGTCTTCCGGGGCCTGAGGGCAGAAGGTTCTGGCTGGCCGTGGGCCAGCTGCAGGCCCTGGCTCTGACTCATGGCCTCTGGGAATCCTGTTTGTCCAGTCACCCCCATCCCTTTCTTCCTCCTCACATGGCCCAGCAGGGCAGAGCTTCGGTGGGGGCTCCCATCTCGAGGGGGCCCTGATGCTGTCATTTCTCAATGCGCAGCGCTGTCCGTCTGTCTGTCGCTCCCCTCCATCTCGCTGCCACCTCTTCTTCACGAGGCCTCGGGCTGGGGCTTCTTCCACCCCCACCCTGGAGTGTGTGAAAATAGCGCCGAGGCCCGGGGTCCTCCCCGGGGTTTCTCGCCGGCCTTAGAGCACTGGGTCCAGGCGGCAGGACCCCACAGCGGTGTGGCGAGGAGGAGGAGGAACTGGGCTCTCTGGTTCTGCTCTGCAGACTCGTGGTGCTGTTGGTGAGGCCGCGAAAGGGCCCAGAGGACTGGGGAGCTAGTGAAGGGGAGCCACTGCATTCCGGTTCTTCCCAGTTCCAGTTCAGGGGAGAACTGGTGGTGTGAGGCCGCCGGCCCTGACACCTTCACGTCAACACGCTCCTGCCAAGACGGCTAATTTCTCCCCCCATCACCCCTGATGTTACCTTTGAATCTAGCATCTGCAGGTTTTATATATTTCCTTCTTAGACTGCAAGGTCTGTTGCCCATTTGGGGAGTGTTTAATAAATAGATTAGAAAAGTATTTTGGGCTATCTGAAAAACCTGCTTTCTTCCCTTTACACCATTGACCCTAAGTCCTTGACTAGACTCTCAGGCTGCCAGTAAGAGTACAGAACTTCGGCAAAGACTCGGCAGGAGGAGCTGGCGTTGAGGCCCTGCGGGCAGGAGCTGAGACATTCTCCGTTCGCAGGCCCCCTCCTCCCCTCCCAGAGGTGCTGTGGGGCACCCGGCATCTCCTCCCTATTGCTGGGGAAGGAGGCAAAGCCAGGGATGTTCTCCATCAGCCTGGTGAATCGCACAAGGAGGGAAACACAACGGGGGAAGGAGAAGCAAGTTCCTCATTGGGCCAGATGTGCTGGGAGTTTGAAATGTGTTATTGGTTCTTCCACACACAAACACACATCCACGTACACACACACACATCCATGTGCACACACACAGAGTCATATATTTGCATGGCCCACCTCCCCACAGTCTGCAGCTTAAGAACGCAGACATTATATCACGTCCCCCAAACCTTTATTTCTATGCTGACTTCTGTCTCCTCCTAGTTTGGAAAATGGGGAAGAGAAATCTCTTCTACGTCAGCCATTATCCACAAAGAAAACAGAAAATAAAAACCAAAAACGGCCACTCGTAGGAAAAGCCATAATGAAAAGGCACCCATGAGATTTCTGAAAACAGACCTTGCTGCCTGACCGACATCTCACTCACTGGCTTGAAGGAACAAAGACACGTGTATCAGGTGCCCACTGGGTGCCAGGTGCTTCTCACCTACTAGCTCGTTTAATTCTTAAAATAATCCCATGAGAGAGCTATTAGTTCTTTCTATTCAAAGGATGAAATTAAAATCTAAGGGGTTAATTAATTTGCCCAGAGGTCACAGAAGCAGTGGGAGGCAGGAGCAGGTTTCACCCTGGGTCCATTGGACTGTGGAATTCTGTGCTTCTTCCCAGACACCAAGCTGCCCGGAACCAATGGAGTTAGAAAACGGTAGTGTTTCCTGCCAGAGGCTTTGGCATTTAGGGACACTTGCTGGGGTCTTTGTAGGGCCAACAACATCCAGGGCCAAGGAATGGGGTGTCCATTCTCGTTCTCAGTCCGTTGGCTCTTGGCTGTCTGTCCTGAGCTATGGCCCTAGTCTGACCCAGCGCTGAGAGGAGTGACACCTTTCACTGCTGCCATGTGCTGTATTTACAGCTGGGCGATGCTCTGCTGCAGCAGCTGCCTGCTGTTTGTTCCCCAACTTAATCCACACCATCCAAGGGGCTCATCCACGGAGGAGAAAAGAGAAGTCAGTCCTTAGGTACCTCTTGACAGCTGTTCCTCTCTATCCCACAAGAGCAAGTCATTGACAGACTTCATTTCTGTCTTAACGTTTGAGGAGAGGGAGAAGAGAAAAAGAACTTTTGACTTGCTGAATATAAGGAATGATAAAAATATAAATTATGATTGTAGATAACAGTCACCTGGTCACAAGACGTCAAGGCATTGTTTTTGGAAACACAGCAGTTACTTTCCTCTGGTGTTTCACGTTTCCACACAAGTGAGTTGTTTGTGTATACAGAGGAGCTTAGAAAGTCCTTGTTGAATGAATAAAACTCAGAATATCCAAGTTCGTTTCGATATTCCTAGAAGTGCACGCATAGCAGTACAGATTTCTCTCATGCTGGGTTTTTTTTTTCACTCTTGGTTTTTATTAACAAGGAATATGTATTTATTATATCTAATGAAAACCCAGAAAAAAATATACAGAAGAAAAACTAGATAAAATCTTTGTAATTCTGCCAATAGTACTATCCATTAACTGGCGTGTCCTTCCAGACAGGAACACGTACGTGTGTGCAAAACACACAGCGTTTTATTTTAAATGGAATCAAACACAGGGAGGCAGAGTGTACCTGGAGGCTGTCCCACCAGGATTTAAGTGCCAGCGCCACCCTTTAAAAGCTGTGTATCTTGAGCAAGTTACCATATCTCTCTCAATCTCTGTCTTCTCACTTGTACAATGAGAATCAGTAACTACCTGACGGGATGTTAGGAAGAGTAAATGAACCATGAAAGGCTCTGAACAATGTAGTTGGTCACAGTGAGCACGTGGAGGAATGTTTGCCTTTATGGTTATCACATATTATTACATCCAGTTCGTTATTACATCTGCTATTAATATGGTTATGACATGTTATTTTTAACCTGCCTTTTCACTAAGCAGCATTCTGTAAGAACTCTTTCCACGCCAGGAAGCCCATTTCTATAGCACCGTTTTTAATGACTGTGGAGTATTCTGTCCCATGGCTGTGGGGAGACTTACCCAGCAGTTGGGACCTTCATTTCTTTTTTTTTAAAACTCTTTTCTATTCATGGTTGAGCAGAACTGACATCACAGAAGAGGACTCAATTCACTTTTTCTTTAATGACTCTTTTCCTTTCTTCAGGCAAGGTCTAAAAGTACAGTCTTCACCATTACTGTTCAAAAATGAATGAGTTTCAGGTACCTTGAAGGGAGAATCTACCTCAAACTAGTAACAAACGTCACTGTCACCAGGTGCCAACTCACTAATAGTTTGTAACGTCCTTTTTATAAGATGGGTATTTTTTGTTCTCTTCTCTGTCCACCCCCAAGGAATATGATGATCAAAACTTTCCACCTGTTTCCTTCCTTGTAGAAATTGCTGGGGTGGGGGAAGGAGCTGAGGACACACGGCTCTTTTTTCTGGCCTCAGATCAGCCCTGGAGCCCCGTCCCTGGCCTTGAGTTCTGTGTCATTTCCCAGGAGAGCTCCTGGCTCCTGTGTGCACCTCATTTGTCTCTGGGAATGTCACGTGGCCTCACTGATCTCACCTGCCTCCCACAACCGTCCTGACCTTATCTGTGTATAGGAGGGAAGGCCGTGTGGATGAAGCCCCTTTTAGAGTCTGCTCTTAATGGATTCTGACTCCACGTATTCTTGTTGACCTTCAAAAGTTGTGCAACGGTTGCTCTCGTTGAAAAGACATTATCAGTCTCTGCCATTGTGATTCAATAAACAGTCTAATCTCTTTCTAAAGAACATAGGCTTGTGAGCTGAATGATGGGAGAGGGGAGGATGTGATGGATATTTGAGCTCTGAGCCAGACCTGGGGACACAGCGCTGTGTAGAAGTGATGTGAAGTTTGGAGAGCTCACATACAAGCAGGGAAGACAGACGAGTGAGACACACCCAGCGAGGCGATAACCAGCAGAGGATGTTAGGGAAGAAAGGAGGGGCAGATGGAATGCCTCCAGAGGAGATTCAGGAAGGCTTGCAGGAGAGGATGCTCAAGATTTGCCCAAAGAGGCCAGTGGTCTTGGCAGAGGGAGCTGCTGATGGAAAAGTCAGCAGAGGAGGGGTGAGCCTGGCGTGTTTGAAAGTCACGGTGGCTTGAATGGAAGGGGGTGGGTTGGAGGAGAGGATGAAGGAGGAGGGTAGCTTGGCAAGCTACGTCTCTAAGATGTTGGCCTGTCAATGACGGGGTTTAAACTATATCCTGAAAGTGAGACAGGGCAGGGCCTCAAAGGATCTTAAGTTCAGGGAGCTTAGGTTGCCCAGAGAAACATTCATTTAAGAAGCATAGATTCAGCAGGGGGAAAAAACTGCTTTGGGTCCATACCCCTGACATTTGAGGTAACCTTGCAAACCTGGAAGTATGGAACATACATTCCATATAGTCTTTGGATTGGGAGCATGTGACCACCCACAGTTGACTCTGTTACGTTTTCCTTGACCTTGATGCCATGGGGTAATTTGTGGGCCTTTGATTCTGTCCCTGTAGGAAGGCTCTGCAGAGGACCTCCTCCGGTTAACATCTAAGAGCTTGCCTGATCTAACCAGCTCAGTAGAGGACGTGTCCTCCTGGACTGACAACGAAGACCAGGAGCCAGACGGGGAAGAGGACGAAGGAGCCGGCTCGTCTTCTGTCCAGGGAACAGTAAGTGTGCCTGGGGTTCCCCGGGCTGCTCTGCTAGAATGATGTTTTCCCGAAGACATGGGTGCCAGGGCCAGAGATAAAAACTTGAGATGGATAGTGTGATGGAGACCAGGATGGGAGAGGACCACGGTGCATCTTTCTATTTTTTTGTCAGAATCACCCAGAAAAATCTATGAGGATAATACTTTTAAGAAAAAAAAATGGACACTGTAAACAGGATAAGAGAGCAACAGGGTATTAAGTTCAGTGTGTCTGTCAGTTTCTAGGATGTCTAATAATCTATACCAGGGTTTTATTGCTGCTGCTTGATAGCGTGTTTGAAAAGTTGTTTGTAGATTTAAACTTAGAGATTTCTGGTTGAAAGTGGCGATTTCTGGTTGAAAGTGGAATGTTAAAATAACACCAAACCCATTCAGGCGAAGTTACACAGTTATGGCTTCTGATTTTAATCAAATTAAGAGTTTTACTGGGCTCGTAGCTCTTCCTTACACTGCCTGTAACACATCACACCTTCACGGTCTGCTGTCACTCGTGGCCTGGCATTGAGTCCCAAGGGCTTGTGGTTAACTGTGGTTGCCATGCGGCTCTGTGGTTTCCTCTCTGGATCTCAGATCTGACAGATGCATCGTTTTCAGTGTAAACCCTTGTTAGCTGTTGTTCCCTGTCCAACCAGCCCTGGGGAGGGTGCCTTCTTTCTGCTGTTTGGAATCCTTACTCCTTCCCACCAGCAGTGAACCTAGGCAGCATGGGTAAGCATTGGGAAATTAGTCTTGCTTATAATTAGGCCTTAGGGAAAAAAAATGTATCTCTTATCACATTTATACAATATGCTATTTTAACTTAAGGAAGACAAAGTTACTTTTCCCCTTTCTTTTTAGTCACTGGAGTTCCAGGGCCACTGGGTATGGTTGTGCAGGTTGTGGACTGCACAAATGTACCCCCACCTAATGGGAGCATCATTTACATTATGAATATCATAGGCTTTTATATTTATGATGACAGTTTTCTGGAAGATGGCAGTAAAGAGCTTGGCTCTAATAAAATCAGTCCATTAGGACAATTTTCCAGTAAAAGAAGGAAAACATCTTGAAGAAGGGGTGACTTTTTGTAATTTGCCCAGAGGCCTTGTACAGCCCCACTGTTGATTTCAAATGCTGTTCCAGCTGCTTTTCTCTCAAAGGAGAGCTTTCTCAGAACACTAAGCTGTGAGGCAGGTAAACCAGAGCTGAATGGATGGAGTTGAAATGAGCAATTTAAAGACAGCTGTGTGATTATTCCCATCTCTTTGTGTTATGACACCATTCAATAGCCACTTTATCTTTACTTTTTTCCTTAATTTTACTTTTAGTAAGGATAGAGACTATACTAATGTTCATGACCCCTGCTGCCTCCATGGCTGACCCCCTGCCTACTTCTGTGACTTCACCTCACACCAAGCTCACCGTGCAGCCACCACACTGCCCTTCCTGCGGTCCCTCATGATGACTGCACATTTTTCTGCCACAGGACCTTTGCAAATGCTATTCTGTCTCTCTGGAATCCTCTTTGCCTGTCTCTGATTCATGTTTTGGGTCCCAATGTTACTTCCTCAGAGAAACGTCCTGAATATATCCTATCTGTGTTGTCTCTTAGCCCTTATACCAAGACCCTGCGGCCTTCCTGTGACCTGCTCATCACATTTAGATTTGTGATTATTTGATTAAGATCTGTTTCTCCTATCCAACTGTGAACTCCATGGGATGTGGAAATGCAATGATTGGTTTGGATTCCCAGTGAATCCCTAGAATTTAGCCAGTCCCTCTGGTGTTAAGTTATTAGTAAATAAATTTAAAAACAAACAACAGAACAAGCATTCATCTGAAACTAAAGAAAAAATTGACAACAAAATTTAACTAGGTTTATCCACCGTAAACATGGTTACTCCCCATAGCTGACTGCATCATGGCAGCCTCCGAGGGCTGATGGGGTGATATCCACATTCCGGCCCCAACGGGAGTGACCTACAGAGAGTCTCCCTGAATAAGCCTTGAACAGGCTGACCGTCTTGTGTCTCTTCCCCCACTGTTGTCTGCCCATCCTTCAAGGCCCAGGCCTCTCCAAGCCCACCCACCCGTCCTCCCTGTGACACCCCAGCCCCAGGTACTCTCTGCTCTCTGTACGCACAGCAGTCACCCTCTGCCTAGAAGGGGATGGTGTCTGTGTGGTCTGGCCGGCAGACTCCTCATCTCCAGCCTGACTCCGATATTCCCACCTTTTCCCACCAGACACGGTGCTCCAGCCCGGCGCCAGCCCACGGGCTCTCCCCTCATGTGCCCACAGTCTGGAGAGCTCCCCCGCCTGAGCAGGATCCCACCGCTCAGCAACTGTGCCCTGGGAGGACTCAGCCAGACTCAATGCAGAGCTCAGGAAGCTCGGGATTTAAAGAGAGGAGAAGGCTGCAGCCCACCTGCACCTCCTCTGATAAAGCCCAGAGCCAGTTGGGGGGAAGGGTATATAGCTCAGTGGTAGAGCCCGTGCTTAGCATGCATGGGGTCATGGATTCAATCCCCAGTACCTCCAGTCAAACAAAATAATAATAATAAATAAATAAACCTAATTACCTCCTCCCTCAAAAACAAAGAAAGAAAAAACAAAAAGGCCCAAAGCCATTTATGTGGCACAGTAGTCTGTGGAAAGATTATGGTCCTTACATTTTTTTTAATTTAATAATTCATAATCTCTCACAAAAACTCCAAGGAATTATGTGTCTAGGAATTTTTTTGCACTAAATATGGCTTTGATAAATGGGCCATTATATGTTATATATTATGTGTTTTTTAATTATAATTTAAACTTACTATAGTTTTATAAATTCATATTGCTTTTTATAAATTTATTATTAAGTTATCAGTTAAATGAGTTGTTCTGATTATAAAAGCAATGTTTCCACTGCATAAGTGGTTTTTGATCTGAAAAAAAAAATAATGCAAATCACCCGTAATCCTACTAGTCAGAGATAGCCGTCTCTAACATTTTGTTATGCCTTTCTACTCGATTTTTTTCCTTAAGCACATAAGGATTTTTAATTCACCACATAGTAACATACTTCTGAAACTTGCTGTGATCTCGGTAATATAATCATGAACATTTCCCCATGTCATGAAAGGGTCTTCTAAAACATGATTTATAATGGCTAATATTTCATAGCCTGGGTGTGCCATAATTTATTTTACTAATTTTCTACCATAAATTCCATTTACATCAATCACAAGTATATTTAATTTTTTTCAAAACTGTAAAGAATTCTATATAGATCATCTTTGTCCATGTAGCTCGGTGCACAGTTTTCATTTTCTCATTTGTCTGAACAGCCTGTAGCAGGAGCATCGCTCAGTTCGAGGTCTTCTCCAGAGAGGTTATACTCGTTTTCACTTTGCGCAGTGTCCAGGTCTCGTTATCAACAAGAGCATTATCTTTTAAAAGTGCGCCAATTAATCACAGATTGTTGTATATGCTTATCATTACAATTTTGCCAAAGGAATTTCAACGTGCTCTGTCAACACACTGTATTTGGGAAACGTGAAGTTGCCTTTAAGGAGAAACAAATGACTGTGAGCAGTAGTTCCCCCAAGTACACGTTTCAGTGCTGGATTTCTGGGTTTCCCCATCATGTCACCCTGACTCTCATACGCACATCATCGGTGGAGAAACCAGCACTGAACGTGCTTTGACAGGTAGTTCTGCCTTCTCTGTGCCCTGGACACCCCCTCGCCCCACTCCCCCTTCCATTCCAGCCCCCTCACAAAGCATCATGGAGGAGGAGACGCGTCAGCCTTGCCTGAACGCCCATCATCTGTCAGCCATTCTCTTGAGCTCTGGTTTCAAGCCAGGAGATCTGGGCCTGGACAGAACCCTGCAAGGCCAGGAAATGGGCACGTGACATTTTCCCAGCTTCATAATCTGCCCAGGGTCTTCCCCACTGGGCCTTCTAAAAGGTGCTGAACTATAGAGAAAAAAAAATTTCTTTTTGGTTCTGTGTTTACAATCCAAGTCTGTTTTATCATTTTTTTAAACACTAATGAACCACTTAAATGAAAGAAACCTGGTACTGTTTTATCAGCTAAGTCATAAAGCCTTTTATTTCCCAGATGATAATGATTAAACCTGCTGCCAAGTTCCACTCTCGCATTGACTTTTCTTGTACCTGTAAGTTGCAGATGATCCGAGCACTTAGATGGAGCAACAGTAATACAAATGCTAAGGATCTGCCGTGAGCACCTTTATGATTTGTTTTTCATGGCCACAGTAAACAGCAATGAGATCTTCTTTTAAAAAGCTCCAGCCACGCTTACAGTAGAACCGTATGGTGAATATCAAGTGTGAGGACTACAGTCAGGAAAAAGAAAATGGGACAGTGACATCCCACAGTCCTTTGCATAATTGTCATCCATCTCAGTGGGGTCTGGCTGCAGAGAGAGGGCTCTCCCTCTCCCACCCACCACCACATCCAATATTAATGACTGACAGTTTGGTCTCAGAAAGACATGAGTCTGGTCCCCTCCCCTAGACCAACTGTGGTCCTGATCCACCTGATTGGCCACTCTTTCCCAAGTCTTTCTTTGCCGCTTTGTCTTCTGCTCTGCTGTGACCATTTTTAAAAGAGAATCTGACCGTGCCACTTAGTTTGAAGTCATTCAGTGGCTCTCAATCACACCGAAGTCAAAGTCACAACTCTTTAACGTGGAAGGCCGTCAGCCCCAGCCTGTCCGTGATGCCCTGACACCTGGATATGCTCCCGCAGCCCTAAACACGCATGTACACACAGACACACATGTGCATGCACACAAGTAGCGCTCTCCTGACACTCTCCTAAATCTGCCAATTGCTGCTCACCCCGCGTTTAGCATCTGCTGTTTTCTGTTTACTTGCTGCTGCATATCTCTGTAGGAGAAGAATGAAAATACTTAAGTTTGTAAACTTTTAAAGTCAGATATACCTCTTTGGGCTACCAGTATCCAGTG